CCTTTTTAGTTGTTTAATTCTTGGTATCCCCTCCACCCCAATTGGTTTAAAATAAGGAGTAGAGAATCTTATTTTCTTTATGAAATTCCATGTCATTCAAATATTCTTATTATCCTTAATTTTCTTTTAATAAAGCTTCCTTTTGCAAGTTTGAAAAGATAGCTATTAGATTCCTTCATTTCTAGTTTGTAATAGCTTTCTTTTTAATTAATGCGATTTGCATTTTCTCAAAAAAAAAAAAGAATAATGGAGCTTCTAGGGTTTAGTAGAAAGGAGCTTGTAGAACCCACTTGAATTATTTGGAGTAGCCAATTTGGGTTGGGTTAGCTTTAGGTCCATGAATTTGGGCTTTTTGAGGATTTGGGTTATCCCATTTTGTTGATCCAAGCCAAACCATGGGTTTATCTTGTTGGGCTATGTACATAAGGTCATGTGACACCTACTATAACTATTGGGGCAATTTAATTTCATAAGGATGGGGATTTAGATCAAGAAAATCACTTTGGGTCTACTTGGTCCAACTAATTTGACTAAACCAAGTGGGCCCATGAGAAGAAATTTTTTATAGGGGATTCCTGGTGACCCCATGGACCATCACCAAAAATTTGGTCAAAATCATGTGTTTTGAATTGTTAGGTGTTTAGGTGATCATAGCCAACCTAGGTTGACTTGAACAATCATATTTAACCAGTGGTCATAGTTGAGTCTAACTCATTCCAAATGATGGTTCTGGACTTATTGGAGGCGATTTCATGACTTAGTGGGATTTTCTTGCATGAAATAAGGTTTAAAGGGGTAAAGGGGCATATTAATTAACCTCGATTGAATTAGTAAACCATAGTCCGCCAAGAGATTTTGTGTTTTTAAGGTTTTCTAGTCAACCATAGTCTGCCAAGAATTCAAAATTGGTTCAATACATCATGAAAATGATTATGAACTTGACCAAGAGTTTTGGAGAGGTTTTCAAGGTGATTTTTCACAAGATGCAAGGTCCAGTGTTATATGCTATTAATATTTAAAGGATTTGTAGACTTTGGAAATAGATTCAGTTTTGAGGTTTATGAGGTTTGGAATGCCTCCAAACCAATGTGGTTGATCCTAGGAAAATGCCTAATGAATATGCAACTAACATATCATAAATCTAAGGCCATTTGATAAGGGTATGAAGGATTTAAATTTTTCACAAGAATTAGTTTTGGACAAAGGGTTTTTGTGTTTGGATTTGAGCAATTGATTTTAGATTTTGGGTCTTCAATTAGATTTTTTTTATTTGGATTTTACTTAGGAATTAATTGGGGTTTATTTTATTTATCTCCTTTAAAAATAAGGTCAAAACTACATTAATTTTACTTATCGCTCATTAAAATGGTCAAGTTAGAAAAATAATTAACTTCTTCACTTTATATAAAGTAAAGGAAAAAATAGGTTAAATAAGCATTAGCTCAGTCTTTAGATACTTCATTTGTTCTAAGGGATAGACTATAACAGGAAGAATATGAATTTGTTCCCTATCAAAAAGGATTTGTAATACCTTCATTCAAAAATTTTGATTGTACCTGCTATCCTAAAAACATCTTGTGCGTTTCTCAACTATTATATGTAACGCTGGTGAAAAAAAACACTATTGCTCAGATAATTTTTTAGTATTCTATATGGTATTACATTTGAATGGTATGTTGAATGACCCAATGGATTAGTCAGTACCTTCAATGAGTGTGAAATCATGCTTATTAAAAATTTTGTTGGAGTGAAACAACATATCACCATCAAGGATTTGGTTGTGGAAAAGCAAAAACCATATTGTATTCTATATGGTATTACATATCATGCACACACATATTGGGGGAGTGAGACAAAACTTTAATTTTTAAAACTAATCGTACTTTAAAATTTTCCAATCATACTAGATGATTTGCCCTGGTAATTCCTCCAAAATTAAGTTAATCAAATCATGCCAAAGAAATTTTTGTTGTATTGATCGTATTGTACGATTTATACGATCCACTAAGTATGAAATGGGTGCATACCAGTTTGTACCAAACAAAGCATAATTTGGTTATACTATTCATACTATACGAAATCAATTTTGTACAAATAATTCATAATGTACGAAATGAGTTAGTATGAAATTGTACCTGACAAACTTGTTCAATTTTGAATTTTTTTGTACAGTACGATGTCAGTATGTACATATGAGTAGCAGAGTACGAAATCAGGTTCGTACAATATTGTACATGAAATTTGGAACTATTCATATGTATGAAGTATGATTGTATTGTACGATCCAAGTATGTTCAACTTGATATTTTTAGTTTCACAAACTAATTTTCTTGTCTGGCATATATAAGAGTCTTAAAAATGACTGTCAATATCCTTTTTTGAATTTCTTTCACTAGTTGAAAAGGAGAGTGTTTGGGAAAGTATTTAGGAGTGAAGATTGAGAGATATTTTAAGAGGGATTTATGAGGGGATTCACAAGATTGCCCAAAGGTAAGGATCTCTTATTTGTTCTTCAAGTTTTCTCTCTTCTTCTTTGAAGGCTCTTGTAAGAAGATTTTCAAGGAGATTTGATACCTTGTTGTCACCAGGAGGGTGAGAAAGGAGGTCAGTTCCCTATCATCATTAAGAGGGTGGGAAAGGAGGTCAGTTCCTTATCATCACCAGGAGGGTGAGAAAGAAGGTTAGTACTCTGCCGCACGAGAATTATTAAAAGAGAGGTCAATTCTTTGTTGTCACATGGAGGGTGAAAATGGAGATTGGTACCATGCCATCACCAGGAGGGTGAGAAAGGAGGTCGGTACTCTACCGCACTAGGGTTGGTAAAAGAGAGATTTTGTAAGGGCTTCTCCGCCTTATTGTGGGACCAAAGGAGAGTCACTTTAGTATAGTGCAATACCTAAAGTAGGAGTCTTCAAAGAGTGGATGTAGGTCTAGTTTGACTGAACCTCTATAAAATTATGTGTTCTTTTGTCTTTACTTTTAAGTACTTTTTATTTTATGCGCATTTAATTTTTAATGGTTGAAAAAATATTTTGAAAAAAAATCTATCATAAAATTTTAAATTGATTTTCTAAATTACCAAGAAATTTTTTAAATTAACAATTCACCCCTCCCCCCCCCCACCCTCTTGGTTAGCCTTATGAATAATTAACTAGGAATAACAACCTATTCAAACTTTCAAGTGGTATCAGAGAATATTTCAAAAATTAAAGTTTAGACAACTTTTTAAAAATGATAATAGCTACTTTTTCAAACTATAACACACCTGAAGGATATTCGATCGCTAGACCATCGCTATTTGATAATATTCCTTTCAAATTTTTAAAAACACATGTCTATTTTTCAGCAATCACTTGACTATCGCATCTGAATTTTAGTACAGGAAGGTTACACTAGTTCAACTAGACTTGTAGATGGCATTGTAATTAAAACACCTTTTATAGATTATACATTAGAGGAAAAAGACTTAACTAAGTTAAACATAAAATATTTAAATAGTTTTTTCTATGCACTAAAATCTGAGGACTATACACGTGTTTCAACCTGTAAAACTGGAAAAGAAATATGAGATAGACTTTATATAATGTATGAAGGAACTAATGAAGAGAAATAAACCAAATTGAAATTTTATTATACAACTATGAACTATTTTAGAGTCGCTTCTCGAACTTTGAATTTTTCTAGAGAGAGAACATCTGGCTTTTTAGAGAGAGAATTTCCATCTTCGTGTTCAAATTTTGATTTCCCGCATCCTTTTCTTGCGGCCGGTGGTGCCGTCGCTGGAAGTTCGTCGGTGTTTTTGGCCGATGTCATGGATGCTCCACGGCCCCCTGGTACTCTACGCAGTGGTGGTAGAGGGAGGAATGGCGTGGTGATCAAGGAGGGGGCGAAACCGTCAATTCGTCCATTTTTTGTGGAAGGCAAGGGGAAGAAGGTTGTGAAGGAAGATTCTGATGTTCGGAGTATTTCAGATTAAAAAAAAATTGTTGGTGCAGCTAATTCGGCTTTTCTTGATTCTTCTGGGATGGAGGAGCCTATCTTGAAAGTTAAAGGTTTTTCTGGGGTTAATAAGGTCAATAAGGTCTCAATTGATCTGATTGATGAGAAAATCTTGAAGAATCATGAGATTAATGGTGGTGGGAATGTCTCTGGTAAGGATATGTTGAATGATGAAATCTTGATGAACAAATTAAATGAGGATAATACACAGAATGGCATTGGCGAGATGGGTGGAGCTTGGTCGAAGCTGAAGCACATTAAGATTGCGTTTAATAAAGAGCAAGTTGAATTATCTGAGGATGGGATTGCTGTTCGGCTTAATTCATAACTGGAATTTAAGAACTCTGAAGTCTTGAAGAATTATGTATTTATTAAGGTTCATGGGAATAACGTGCCTTTCTCTGTCTACAGCGTTGAACTAAGAAGGCAATGGAGTAAGTTCGGTGGATTCCATATGACTTCAATTGGCATGAACTGGATTCTCTGTTCATTCAAGACAAATGAGGTGGTGGAAGAAATTTTGAATGGAGGGCCATGGTATGTGAATGGTTACATTGTCGGCATGGACAGGTGGTCTCCTGCCTTTGATCCGTATTCCTTCAAAGGGATTTCAGCTCCTATTTGGATTAGACTCCCATGTTTACCGCTTTATTGCTGGGATGAAGATAATCTAGAAAGGATTGCATCTCGATTTGGCACGCCTATGTACTTTGATGGGAATACATTCAAATGGGGGAAGAGAGAATTCGCTCGCATGTGTCGAGATCGACCTAGAGAAGAAACTTCCTAATGGAGTTTGGATTGATGGACTAGCTGGTAGGTTCTTCCAACGAGTCGAATATGAGAAGATTCATTTACTGTGTTATCATTGTGGCCGAGCGGGACATGATGTGAAGGAATGTCCTGAGAATGTTGCTCATGGGATCAAGGACCATACGCTGAATAAATATGAAGTTGTTACAGGGGAATTTAAAAAAGCTTAGGTTGATTCTAAGCCTGTGATGAATAAATCAGAATATGGCCCTTGGATACATGTTCACTTTAAAAATAGACGCTTCATTAAAGGTGGAGCTGGTGATAAAGCAAAGGATGATAATAATGGGGGCAGGCTTGGAAACAGGGGAGATGTGAATCAAGAAATTACTACCCATAAGCATATTCTAAGTGAAAAGAAGAGTGCGGTCATAGTGGAGAAGCTGATCTCGGGCCCAGAAACTACTACAGTGAAAGATAAAACTGTTGAAGACATTCGGTCAGGTATCTCTCTAAGTAACAAATTTGCTGTGTTGATTGAAGATAGTGAAGCAGATCTTACGGGAAAGCCGAAAGAATATGGTGAATCTCATAATAGGATTCTGGAAACTGCTGGCGTTATGAGTAATGTTATATCTTGCTCTAGTGGGACTACTAAAGTTAAACTTTCTAAAGAGCTGAAATCCTTGGGGTCAATGGATTCAGATTTTAAGAAGAAGAAGAGAGATGGAAGGTTGAATTCCATGAGTGGGGTGGGATCCCCTACACTAGCTTAATGTCTTCGTTATTATTTGGGAATTGCAGAGGGGCTAGGAAGAAAGAGGCCGCTCTGTATTTGAAAAAGGTTGTTAGAGATCAAAACATTTTCTTCATTGGGCTTATGGAGACAAAGATGATAAATATTGATAGGAAGGATGTAGATGGCCTTATTGGAAAGGATTGGGATTTTTTCCATTTTCCTGCTGATGGTCTTTCAGGGGGTATCCTAGTGCTATGGAATATAAAGGTTGTGACCTTTGTGGTCATTGAGTCCTCTTCCCAAATGATAGTTGGAGATCTCTCTATCCCCAACTTGGGATTGTGGAAGGTTGCTATAGTGTATGGAAGTAGATGCTGTAAGGAGAGGGAGCTTCTTTGGAGCCAGCTTAGTTGTTGTATGGATAGTTCTACCCCTTATATTATTGGTGGGGATTTCAATTTTGTTTTGAACAAAGAGGAGAAGAGATGTGGTAAGAGGTTTCTTTTTTCTAAAGGACCTAAAGATATGAAGCACTTTATGAAAAACTTTGATTTCCATGATTTGGGGAGTATTGGACCAAGATTCACTTGGTGCAATAACAAGGAAGGAGCCTCCAGGATTTGGGAAAGGCTAGATAGGTGTATTTTGAATTCGGTTGCACTCCAAAAGCTTCCTATTGCTGCCACTATGCATCTTGCTAGGGTGGCATCGGATCATAGTCCTATTGCCTTCAAGATGGATGATAAGGTGCGTATCAAATCAAAGACAATCAAATTTGAGGACACTTGGAGATCTTATACAGCAACCATAAGTATTGTGTATCATGCTTGGAGGAAAAATGATTTCGGTGATGAAGGTATGGTGCTTCAAAGGAAGATTAGTAGAACTTTGAAAGCCCTTTTTTCTGGAGTAAAAACTAATGTAAAGATTTGAATGTGCTAAAAGAAGAACTTAAAAAGGAGATTTTAGATCTCCAACACAAAGAAGTCGTGGGCATTGATTGGTCAGCTCAAGATCTCCTCTTACTTAGGAGTAAAATTCATGATCTCAATGTAACCTTGAAAAGATTGTCCACTTGGTGGAATCAAAGGGCAAAAGCAAGATGGCATGAGGATGGAGACACAAATTCAAAAATGTTTCATAGTTTTGCTACGGCAAGGAGGAATGGCAATAGAGTTAATCAAATCAAAGATATGCAAAATAAGATGCAAGTAGAAGATGATGAAATTGAGAAGGTTTTCATTCAACACTTTGAAGCAAAATGGAAATCCATAGATTGTGAATTAGCGGGTTGGCCGAAAATCTGTGAAAACCAGAAATTGACATCTAAAGAGGTAGCGACTCTTAATTCTGATTTTACGGTGGGTGAGCTACAGGAATCAGTTTTCCAGCAAGGGAATAATAGATCTCCAGGTATGGATGGTCTCACCTCTTCGTTTTACAAATGTTATTGGGATATTGTTTAGAAAGATCTTTTGAGTGCCATTAATTGCTTTTTAATTTCTGGGCATATGAGAAAAGATTGGAAAGATACCTTAATAGTTTTGATTACTAAGGTGAAGAATCCTGTACTTCAATCCAATTATAGGCCTATTAGTCTTTGCCAGACTAACTACAAGATTGCAGCTTCAATACTAGTGAACAGGTTGAAGAAGTGTATTCCCAAATTGATTACTGAAGAACAAATGGCCTTCATCCCAGGTAGATCGATTTCAGAACATTGTCTTCTAGCTCAGGAGATTTTTCACAAGTTTAAGATCTCCAAAAACAGAAAGGCATAGATGGCTTTGAAGTTGGACATGGAGCAAGCATATGATAGCATGGGATGGCCAACTCTTGGTTAAATTCTTGTATGGTATGGCTTCCCTTCTATGTATGCTAACCTTATTTTGGAATGTATTGTAGATGTGAGATTTTCCATTATTATTAATGGAAAGAATTTCAAGTGGATCAATGCTTGTAGTGGATTTCGGCAAGGGTGTCCACTCTCCCCTTATCTCTACATCATGTGTTCTCAATTGATGTCCAACTCTTTAGAGCAAAGGGGTCAAAGTCTTGGCATTCAACTCTCTCCTAGAGGACCAAGGATTACTCACCTTATGTATGCAGATGATGTACTTATCTTCTCTCATGCCTCCAAGGTGTTAGCTAAGACTTTGAAGCCTATTGTTGAAGACTTCTGTAAATGGACGGGGCAAAGAATTAATGTCAACAAATCACAGATTATTTTCAGCCAGAGTGTTAGTTACCCCATGAAGAAAAAACTTGCAAAAGTTTTTGGTTTCAAAGTGGTTAAGGAGCTAAACTACCTTGGGACAAAAATCTCTCTTAATAGGTTGAGGGTGGCTGGCTTTCAAGATCTTCTTATCAATGCTATGGATAGACTTAATGGTTGGGGTAAGAAATCTTTTTCTATGGGTGGTAAGATCACTCTCATTACAAGTTCTCTTTTAACTATGCCAAACTTCTTAGTTACACACTCTTTGATCCCAAAAAGTGTGTTATATGCCATGGAAAAATGTTGTAGAAGTTTCATTTGGCATAAATCTGATGCCAGCCATAGTATACATTATGTTGCTTGGGAGGAGTTATGCAAATCGAGAAGTATGGGTGGGCTAGGCTTGCAGTCTCCTGTAATGAAGGATGGCTCTTTGAGATCGAAGTTAGCTTGGAGTTTCATGCAAAAGCCGGATACCTTATTCCACAGATCCATCATAGCTAAATATGGGAAGGATGTTATGAATGGCACACATAATAAAGCTACTTCTATGGTTTGGCAGATCTTATCAGATGGAGGTAGAAACCTTAGAGGTATTACCAGATGGAGAGTTGGCAATGGGGGGGAGATTAATGTCCTCAATGATGTTTAGATATTAGATAGATGTATAAACCGTTGGCCCACTTTCGTTGATTGTGACTCATTGGAGGGGATGTGTGTCCAGCAGCATTTACTGGACAATGGTCATTGGAATATTTCACTGCTTCAGGAAGTTTTTCATCCAGATTTCATTGTGTTGATTAATCAAATTCAGGCTGATTCCAGTGTAGAGGATTGGCTAAAGCTGCAGAAATTATGCTCGGGTAAGACTATTTCTGTCTTGTCATTTGATCATGTGGTGAAATGTAGATTCAACTCAAATGAAGATGATTATTGTAAGTGGCTTCACAAACTCAATCTTAGCAAGAAAGTGGAGATGTTCTGGTGGAGGCTTGGAAATTCTGCTATCCCCACCAACCTCTTTCTCAGGAACTACAGAATTTCGGTGATAGACACCTGTGCTAGAGGTTGTTTAGCGGTGGAGAGCTATGAGCATATAATGGTTCAATGTAAGTATCTGGTTGAAATTATTATGCAGTTGATTGAGTGGGGTATTCACATTCCCGTTTTCCATTCTTTGGATCAATGCTTAAGGGAATTACGGAGATTAACCGCCCGTCATCTTGGCATTGTAAAAATTTACTACACCATTGTCTACTTCTCTTGGAGAAATAGAAATGAAGTTAAGCATGGTAAAACTGCTCTACCGTGTTATTTGGTTGCATTAAATGCTCTTTCAGTAGCTACCACTAAATCTAGTCCATATCTTTCCAACTTGGGTACTAATCTCCTTAGGGAGTCTCATGACACTTGGTGCCCTCCACCGAAAGATTGGTTGAAGATTAATGTTGATGCTTCCTTACTTTCTTCTGGTATTGCTGGTATCGGTGGTGTCTTCAGGGATTATAGAGGAAGATTCATCCTTGCTTTTGGGAAGAACAAGGTTCATTGGGATATTTCTCAGCATCAGCTGCAAGAAGCTTTCTCGGTAAGAGACTATGTTAGAAGCTGGATGCTTGAGTACAAAGGTGTTATTTTGGAAAGTGATAACATAAATGTTATTACTTACCTCCATAATTCCTTAAAGACAAATAAGTGCCTTATGGATAACAGCTCGGCCAAGGATTCTTTCTTCTTAAATGACTTTAATAAAGTTATTTTTCTTCATGCCTATAGAAATTGTAATAAAGTAGCTAATTTGTGTGCTACTTTGGCATTAGATGGTAGTTTTTTCTTTGATAGCTTTTCCTTTGATGACATTCCTTCCTTGTTATTAAATTTAATCAAGGAAGGGTGTCATCCTTTTGACAATTGTAACTAGTTTCTTTGTTCCTAATGCAAATTGCATTTGAAATATTTTTTTTTTTCCTAATGCAAATTGCATTTCTTCAAAAAAAAAAAGGACTATGAACTATTTTTCATGAAATTGAATGAATCAATCACTGACATATATACTTTTTATATAAATAGTCACTTCATTGCATGCTTTAGGTAGGAAACTAACAAATTTTGTGAAAGTCAATAAAACCCTTCGTTGTTTTCCTACTGCTTATGATTAAAAGATAACTGTCATAACTGAATCAAAAGACCTATATGTTTATTCTATTAACAATTTGCACGGATCACTAATTACTTACGAGCATAGTGTCACTCAAAGATAGATTAATGCAAGTGACAAGCAAAAGGATAAGAATATTGTATTAAAGCTGGATGACTCATAAAGTGATCAGTCACAGCCTGAGGATGATGAAGATATTCCACTCATGATGAGGCAATTTAAAAGTTTCCTGAATAAAATCCTTTGTTATTTACCTACTGTTTATGATGAAAAGATAACTATCATAACTGAATCAAAAGACCTAACTATTTATTCTATTGACAATTTGCATAGATCACTGGTTACTTATGAGTAAGGAGTGACTCAAAGATAGATTAATGCAAGTGACAACGAAAGGAGAAGAATATCGCATTGAAAGTGGATGACTCGGAAAGTGATCAGTCACAGCCTGAGGATGATGAAGATATTGCACTCATGATGAGGCAATTCAAAAGCTTCCTGAGAAGAAAATAATGGAAATGTCTGAAGTGGAATAAATAGAAGTTCCATAAAAATGCAAAATCTTTAAATGATATAATTTATTATCAATGCAAGAAGCCTGGACATATCAAATCTGAATGCCTGAATCTCAAAGCTAATCATAGTAAGGAGAAAATTGAGGATAAATCTAAGTATATGAAGGGCAAGAAAGACTATTGAGAGCATTCTAGGCAGACTCAACATCAGATTCCTCAAAAATAAAAGCAGAGGAGAAAGTCACAAATTTGTGCTTAATGGCAGACAAATTTGATCAGTCGGATCAAGAGGAGGAATGTGATTTATCCTATGACAAATTATTTGAAGTTTTTGAAAAAATACATAATGCATATAGGAAACTCAAAAAGCTACATGCTAAATTGAACCTAGAATTTTTAAATTTACAAAAAGAGCATGAAATTCTTAGAAAATATCACCCATTTATTGATAGCAACCACATGACATTATTGGATGAATTTGATGATTTAAACAAAAAGTATGAACTATTAAAATCATCACATACTGAACTTAAAAATAATTTTAAAATATTTATGGATGAATCTCATCATAGAGAGTATGATTTGAAAGTTGATAATTTAATTTTAGAAAGTGCAAACTCATATCTTAGAGAGAAACTGAAAGCACTTTAGGAAAATAGGACACCCCCTTCACTTGAATAATTTTCCTGTCCTGATTAGAAGTCAAAAATAGCAAAACCTAGGAAAAGATAGTATAACTCACATAGAATGGTAAATCTTTCTCTTTGAGTAATATGTTTTTCATGTGGAATGATTAGTCATATTTCCCACACTTGCACTATTCATCTTAAAACACATTTAGTGTAGAGACCTAAGATGCATAAATCACAGCATATCACACATGCAACTAGATTATCTTAGTCAAGAGGAGAACCCAAACTTATTTGGATTCCCAAGTCAAATGTTTGATCATTTTGTAGAAACACTCTCTACAAGCCCTCATGAGAGCATTTGTACCTATACATTGGCTATTGGAAGCATATGATTGAAGACATAACATAATTCATATCGCTGGAAGTTGAAAATGGAGGCAAAATGACACTGGGATACAATACTATAATAAAAGTGATAGATACATGTATGAATGGAAACAAGATTAATTTTTTTTATTGAAAATGTATTATTGGTTGAAGGGTTAAAGCATAATTTGATAGTATTAGTCAGCTTTATGATAAGGGTTATAGTGTTAATTTTTTTTCTACAAGCTGCATAATAAGCCAAAATAGAATAGATATATTGTATGGATATAGGGAAAATAACATGTACTTGCTTGATTTAAATTTTATAAAATCTTCTAATGTTTTTTATCTCAAAATAATTACAAATGAATCATGGTTATGGCATAAAAGAGTTTGGCAGGAAAGCATAAAAAATCTTAGAAATATTACCCATAAAGAATTAGTTAGAGGAATACCTAAACTTGACTTTACTAAAGATTTCCTTTGTGATGCATGTCAATTAAGAAAACAAGTGAAGTTTTCCTTTCATTCAATTAAAGATCTTAAAATAAGCGCACTAGAAAGCATTCATATGGATCTTTTTGGACCGGTTAGCACTTTAAGTTTAGGAGTTAAAATTTTGAGTTTGTAATAATTGATGATTTTTCTGAAAGTTCGTTAGGGATGTTAGGCCCTCTTGAACTTAGTCCCAAGCTAATTAAAGAGAGAGGTGAATTGGAAAATTTTAAAACCAAAACACAATCCAAATCACCAAATAATAAATGCGGAAATTAAAACGCGGAAGTAGTAAAAAGAAAGAACACACTGGATTTATAGTGGTTCGGTCAAACCTTGACCTACGTCCACTCCTTGGAGGCACCCCCCAAGTATTGCACTAAACTAGTGTCTCTCCTTTAGCCCCCACGGCTAGGCGGAGAAGCCCTTACAAAAAAATCACTTCCACCTTCCCCGGTGCGGCGGAGTCGCCGGGTCCTTTGACACCAAAGAGATCTTCTTATTTGGTGAACTTACCTCGAGACAAGCCTTGAATCCGATGGTACTAAGGTGCGAGTTCGCCGGAGCAACCGTGTGGAACCCCCTCCACACTCCCTTGAGTCCCCCCTCACAGGATCTTCTCCCTCTCTCAAACTCCACCCTTTCCTCTCTCCCTTTCAAGCTCTCTCTTCTAGTTTCCCCCACAAGAACGAAGCTACAATGGCTGCCAAAGACACTTACAAAGTGCCTTGCCATAGCTTAAATAGAGGCTCTCAAAACGAGCTCATTAATGCAAGTTGCCGACATTATCGTCCAGGATGATAGATATATCGTCCTGGCCGATCAGTACAAATTAAGCTCATTAGCCCGGGACGATATGGGACGATCAGAAGAAAATTGGTTACATCGTCTTGGCCGATCTTACGATCGTCCTGGCCGATTAGTTTAAAACCGATTTCAATCGTCCTGATCATCGCCCTGTTTTTGAGCTGGCCGATATAGATCGTTCAGGCCATCGTCCTGGTCGATCATGCGATCGTCTCGGACGATGTGATCGTATCAATCAACCATTAATGCTTTCCAAAGATACCAGATCAATTTAGGCATGATTGAGTTAGATCGTCCTGGACGATAATAATATCGTCCGGGCCGATTTCCTAAAATAAAGACTTCCTAAATTGATTATGGCGGTTGATTCTTTCTGAATTGAGATTATCGTCCAGGCCGATCTGTTGACGGCTGCCTTAATGAGGATGCCCTGATTAGGGTTTCTATTTTTAGACCGATCGGCCAGGTCGATAGGACGATCGTCCAGGCCGATGTTACCAAAAACAGAAATCCTAAAGGGAACAACATGAAAACTTCTATGTTACATAACAATAGGTCCCACACCCAATACAATTGACTCAAGAAAGAAAAAGATTACAAACTGACACAAACCTAGTCTACCCAATCTTGAGCTGGTTCTGAATTGAAGTCTTGATAGTGTGGTCCTAAAATGTTAGTA